ACAATACATAAAATTTAATTTTATTGTATACTTTAAATTTATTTATATTGCATGTATATTATAAAATTATTTATATCGCATAAAAATTAATTTATATTTGTATTTTAAATTTATTTATATTATGTATACTTAAAATTTATTTATATTGTGTAGTATAAAATTATTTATATTGCGTGTATTATAAAATTATTTATATTGCGTAGTATAAAATTATTTATATTGCGTAGTATAAAATTATTTATATTGCGTATTATAAAATTATTTATATTTGTATTTTAAATTTATTTATATTATGTATACTTTAAATTTATTTTACGTTTTTTTGAATCAGAAGATTTCTTTTGACGTATCAAAAGATTTCTTTTGGTTGTGTTTTTGACGTTAGAAGATTTCTTTTGAAACAAGTTTTTTTCAAATCAGTTATATTTTTTGACATGGTTGTGGATTCAAAAAATTTGAACTATGAGTTTTTTGAATTTAATTTTGTTTTTGAAAATTATAATAATTTTTTTTAATTATATATTTAATTTATTTAATCGAACAGCGACAGCACAAAAAACAATTTTTTTATTATTATTATTTATTTTATAAATAGAAATTGCTTCTCTAAAATTAAAAAATGAAAAAATGGGAAAGCCTAATAATTCATCTGGTATTCCTAATATTATTTATTATAAAACATGTCGACTATGGGTATTTGAGAAATCAATAAACAAAAAAAGAACTAGAAAATATTTTAAAACCAAAGATCAGGCGATTGAATATAAAAATATATTTGAAAAAAAAGATATAAAAAAGATCAATTCCCCAATATTTAAAAATTAATTTTTTTTTTATTAAAAAAACTCTCAAAATATAATATATATATTAAAATTATAATTTTAAAATGTCTGTTGTATATCTGTCTGAAGAAGAAATCAGCCAAATGTCAAAAAATGATAGATGACAATATCAAAAAAAGATAAAAAGATATAAAGAAATGTATAATCGAGAAAAAAAACAAAGATACTAAGGATATGAAATTAATGATACAGATACTAGAATTCAACGTGAAGAAAAAACTTATCAATATTTAGATATACATATTAACTCAATATACAATAGATTAGATAGTATAATCAGTCCTTATCACAATTATATTATTCAAGAGATAGATTCAATATTAAAAATTTGCAAACAATATAATTTTGATAAACAAAACAGAGTAGTTCAAAAATATACATTAATCAAAGAGGAGATAAAAAATTCATCTGATCCTGATAACTACGTGATTAAGTTATCAGTTAAAAATAGTAAATATAAATTTCTGCCTCATCTTTATTATGAGAAGCCTGATCTTTTAATTCCACTTGCAAGATTAGAATTATGTTATATCAAGATCGCGCAATCAGAAAAACTTCAAGGAATTGTATTTGGTAAAAAGATCAACAAACCAAGCTCAAAGAAAAAGAAATTACCTAGATGGAAACAAAAACAATATAATGAATTTATGAACAAAAAATCAAATATAAAACTTAATGAATTCAACTTAAAAGATCCTACATTATATCAAGATTTTATCTTGGCTATAGCAAGCATATTAACTATATGTGAAAATTATAAGATAAAACATACAAATCATTTATTAATGAAATACAGAAAGATGCTTAGAGATTTACATAACGCAGAACATAAAAATGATTTTTGTATAAAACTTTCTATAGCATGTGCTTGTTATGAATTTAACCCTAGTTTATTCAAATATAAACCTAAATTATTATATCCTATTTGGAAGCTCGAACAAGGATTTAAAAAAATTTATAATCAATATATAAATAAATATAATAAATAATATCTGAACAACAATTTCCCACAAGGGACAGGCAAATTTCATACACAACACAACTACCCTACTTTTTTTTTTATCCCAACACGGCCGTTGTGGCCCGTGTTGGTTTGTATTAATCACAAAAATTATAAATTTTAAAGTATTCAACATAAATAAATTTACAATATATATAATATAAATAAATTTAAAATACTAATATAAATAAAAGTTATTAAAGATTATTTTATTTTATATAATAAAAGAGATCTCTTATCTTTAATATTTCTAAATTCAAATGCCAAGCCTTTTAATAAGTCCTTTTGTAGTGAATCATACGATTCTTAATTCACCAATAAAATTAAATTTCAAATCAATATTTTTATTCAAGATAATCTATAAAAATTCAAAATTTTTAAGTTGCTTACTTTACGATTCATTCGTAAAAACTTTTTATCTTACAACTTTTGCATATTGCAATTTACAAATTTTATTCAAATCTTACAAATTTTTAAACAAATTTTTTACAAGTTTAATTTTACAAAATGCGTTATATTTTCTATTTTATTATTATATTTATTGTCCTTCTTGGTGAATTTATCATTAATAATTTTGATAAATTTGAAAAATATTTCTTGCAAATAATTATTTCAAGAAATTTATTTTATATTTTTATGATTATTTATTTAATATTTATAATATTCAATATTGTACATTGAATATACTTAATCAAAAACTATTCACATACAATCATTTATTGATTTAAATATAAAATTTTTTATTAAAAAAATATTAACAAAAGGTAAGAAATTTTTCTTACTTAGTGCTGGAAGTTTTGTTACGCTGCTACTTAGAACATATTAGTTTGATTCTGAACTTTAGTCATAAATATTGTCAGGTGTCTAGATGAGGATTAAGCTATTGTTTGAAAAATGCAGTATTTTATATAGCATGTAGTGAAAAAACTTTTAAAATTTTAATTCTATCTGTTGAACATGGTGAATTTTCATAGTGTAATTCAGTTGTGCTAATTTTTTTTTTTTATTTATTAGAACCAAAATTCGTATCAACAAAGATGAAGAAAAGACTTTAAACAAAATTTAATTTTATTTTTTTTACAAGTCGTGGTAAAAGTGCTTATAGAAGAATATTCAACAAGATAAAAAATAGTATTTGAAAACTTTGTATATATTTAATATTTGTATAGAAAAAATCACATTCAAAACTTTGTATATTAAACTTTATATAGAAAAAAAATTATGTATTGAAAACTTTGTGTATATTTAATTGTTGTATAAAAAATTGTTTTAATAAAAATAAATTTTTATTTTATTATAATTATTATTTATAAATTTTTATATGAATATTTAGTATATTTTAAACTAATTTGATATTAAAAACATAACGTCAAGCAAAGCACGATGGCTATTTTTTCCAATATCAAATAACCCATAGCGTTTAATTTTTAAAAAAAAAATAATCAACAATTTGATTGTTTTAAAGTATTTAAAAACAAATTCCACAAATTATCATTATTCTTTCGTCTAAAAATAAATTCTAATAAGTGTTTTTTAATTAAATCTTTGTGTCTATTTTTTTTTGAAATATTTAATTTAATTCCGTTCCATAACTATAAAAAAATTGAATTAGAAAAATACAAAAAAATAATAAATAAAATAAAAAAAAAATACTAACTCCTTCAATTGAATTTGAATGTATTCTGCCTCAAAGTCTTTTTCTAGAATGATTAACTTTTTTATGAACATAACCTAAAGATTCAAGACCATAGTAGCCCTTCTAACTAAAACAAAAAAAATATTTTAATGTTTAAATAAATTTTAATAAAAATAAAAAAATAAATATCTATCAGTATGAATTATTGAATTTCTTCTAACATGTTTTTTGATTATTCTTTTTAATGTTTCTTGATTTCTGTCATCTGTAATTTCTAAAAAGCATTTTCTTTTTTCAGATCTTTCGACACCACCAACCTATTAAAAAAAGTTAATTAGTATAGTATTTTAAATTATTTATTAATTAATAAATTTAAATTCTTACAATCCACTATGATTCATTCTTTACAAATTTTGATTCATCTAAAGAAAAATATTATAATTTATTGCAATATTAAAACAATTCTTATTTAAGATAAAATTTTAGATTATTTACCTACTTCTACGACAATACCAGGTCTACCTATTTGTTGGTCATTATCATCTAATGTATTTATTATTAAATCTCTAAAAATATTTATATAATTCACTATTGTTCGAGATGATTGATTTGTCATATAGCTAATCGAAGTATATTTTAGTTTACAAAGAAAAAGATAACCTATAAATAATATTTCTGAGCATTTCAATTTACTTTTACTAAACAGAGTATTTCTAAATATTGATACTGTTTTATTACAATTTTTGTTCTTACATCTAAATATTTTTTTTGTTCTATATATTGCTGATTCGCATTTACATTTTTCTGGCTCAATAATTATCTGTTTATCTATCAAAAATTTGATACAACTCTCTTCATTAAATAATATTTCTTTTATCGATTCAGCATTTGGTAACAACATTTTTAAATTTATATTTTTTATTTATAAAATAAAACTTTATTATATAGATTTTATAAAATAAACAAATTAATAATTTTTAATTTTTAAAACTATTTACTATATTGAGTTCCGAGGTAAAATAATAAAAATAATTACTGCGCCTCGCAGTAATTATTTTTATTATAGTATTACCCCGGGACTCATAATCGAATAGTATATGTTATAATAAAAAAAATTAAAAGTAAGTTATTTAATTAAATTTTAAAATTTTTAATTTTAAAATTATTGTAATTTTTTTTTTTTTTTTTAGACTCTTGTTACCAAAGAAGATATGGCCTCAGACGATGATTTAAAGCTTCCAACTGAAATCAAAATTGCTATTAACTGTGATTCTTTTTGGGATTCTCTTACAATATTATATAAATTACTTTGTCTTTTTTGTGGAGCTCTTGATTTTATGCAATACGACAAAGCTCATCTTCATAATGTTTTACATATCTTCGGTTTTTTTATGCAAATATTTAAAGAATTTGAAGAATCTCAATTTCAAACAAGAATAGTTGAAAGACTTGAAAAAAGGTGGGCTACATAGGAACAACTATTGCTTATTCTTTCTTTTATTCTTCATCTCCTATATAAATTGAATTATTTTAATCAAACACAATATATTAACTTTACTTACATAGGAGCATAGTTATCATATTATTATAAAGTTTAGTTTGATACTGAGCCAAATTGTTTGCTTCGCAAACTTGAACTTTATAAACAGCAAAAGTATCCTTTTACTGAAAAAACCTTTAACCATTTTAAAGGAGATATAGTTCTTTGGTGGTCTTATAATTCTAGTGCTATACCAGAACTGTGTTATGTTGCATGCCAATTATTTGGTATATGTGTTACAACTACTTCTGTCAAAAGGCTTTTCTCAACAATGTGCTTTTTGCATTCTCTATTAAGAAATAAACTAAAAGTAAATTTAATTTAAATTATAAATTTTAATATATTAAAATTTTTTTATTATAGAATACAAAAGTTGTTGCAATAAGTCATACTGAAATCTTATGAGCTCATAAAAAAAAGATCAAACCTAATTATAGTTAATCAGATTACTCTTCCTCTGCTTTATCTTCCTCTGCTGCTCTAGTTTCTGCTAGTTCTTCGCTATCTAATCAAGATCTAGAATTTGAAGAGAC